CGCCCCGGGCTCTTCTCTCCCCTCTCTTTTTTTTTTCTCCCCTCTCTCTCCCTCCTCCTACTCCCCCCACCGCCCTCCCTCCCTCCCTTCCGCCGACCTCCCACCACTCTCCTCCCCACCCTCTCGTCGTCGTGCTTCTCCTTCCCCCTGCCCCGTGCCCACCGCTCGCAAGGTTTGCAGAAGGGAGGGGGGAGATCTGGTGGAGAGGGCGGATGATGATGATGATGATGATGATGATGATGATGATGATGATGATGATGATGATGATGATGATGATGATGATGATGGTGATGGTGATGGTGATGGTGATGGTGATGGTGATGGTGGTGATGATGACGCTGATGATGATGCTGATGATGATGCTGATGATTATGATTATGATAATGTTGATGATGCTGATGCTGATGATGACGATGATGATGGCGATGATGATGCTGCTGCTGATGATGATGATGCTTGTGCTGATGATGCTGATGATGATGGTGATGATTCTGAGATGATGTTGATGATGGTGGTGGTAATGATGATGCTGATGATGATGGTTATGATGATGGTAATGGTGATGCTGCTGCTGATGATGCTAATGATGATGATCATGATGGTGCTGATGGTGATAATGCTGCTGATGTTGATGATGATTATGGTTATTATCATGATCATTGATCATGGTGATGGTGATGTTCATGATCATGATCATGGTGATGGTGATGGTGATGGTGATGATGCTGCTGCTGCTAATGATGATGGTGATCATGCTGATGATACTACTGGTGATGATGATGATGGTGGTGGTGATGATGGTCGGGATGATGTTGATGCTGTTGATGATGATGGTGACAATTCTGATGATGATGCTGCTGATGATGCTTATGAGCGACGATGACGATAACGATGATGCTGAACATGATGTTGATGATGATGATGATGCTGATGATGATGATGACGATGATGATGATAATGATGATGCCGATGATGCTGGTGGCGATGATGATGCCGATGATGATGATGATGATGGTGGTGGTGGTGACTATGATGATGCTGATGCTGATGATGATGACGATGATAATGCTGATGCTGATGCTGATGATGATGCTGATGCTGATGATGATGCTGATGCTGATGCTGATGATGATGATGATGATGATGATGATGATGATGATGCTGATGCTGCTGATGATGATGATGGTGATGATGATGATGATGATGATGATGATGATGATGATGATGATGATGATGATCATGTTGACGACGACGATGCTGATGACGATGATGATAATGACGATGATGATAATGGAAAGAGCGTGCTCTACCGCTGCTGTCGGAAAACCGGGGGGGGGGTATTACTGGGGTTTCCCGACCCGTCCCCCCCTCTCCCTCCGGAACCTGGGGTCCCCCCCCCCTCCTTTCGAAAATCCCCCCCCACCCCCCCCCTGCTGACCACCCCGCCCCCCTTCCTCCCGGCACCCCCCCCTGACCCCCTTTTCCGCTCGGGAAAACCGGGGGGGGGGGTCACTACTGGTTCTAGCCCCTCCCCCCCCCAGTCCATCATGAAAAGTGGGGGGTCACTACCGGTTCGAACCCCCTCCCCCCCCTCGAAAGCCGGGGGGGGGGTCACTACCAGTTCGAACCCCCCCCCCCCCCTCCCTCGCGGCCGGCAAACGATTCCCGCTCCCCGGGGCACTTGGACAGTGGTGGGGATACTAGGACAGTGGTGGGAACGGTGGTGGTGGGGACAGTGGTGCGGGGACAGTGGGACAGTGGTGCGGACAGTGGTGGGGAAGGTGGTGGTGGGGACAGTGGGGAGGGGACAGCGGGACAGTGGTGGGGACAGTGGGACATTGGTGGGGACGGTAGTGGTGGGGACAGTGGTGAAGGCGGTGGTGAAGACGGTGATGGGACAGTAGTACAGTGGGGAGAGAGGTGTGGAGAGTGGTGGGGTCAGTGGGACAGTGGTGGGGACAGTGGGGACAGTGGGACAGCACAGTGGGACAGCGGCGTGGACAGTGGGGACAGTGAGTGGGACAGTCTTGGGAACAGTGGTGGCAGTGGGACAGTGGTGAGGACCCTGGGGGAGAGTGGGACAGTGGTGGGACAACTTGTGGGGAGAGTGGGGACAGTGAGACACAAGTGGAGGCACTGGTGGGGACAGCGGGGACAATGGTGGGAACACTGGGGACAGTGGGACAGTGGTGGGGACTGAGACAGTGGTGGGACAGTGGTGGGGACAGTGGTGAGGGGGGCGGTGGCGAGGGCGGTGGTGGGGCAATGGCACAGAGGTATAGTGGGGACAGTCGTCGGGACAGTGGGGACAGTGGTGGGAACAGTGGGACAGCACAGTGGGACAGCGGCGGGGACAGTGGGGACAGTGGGACAGTCGCGGGAACAGTGGGGACAGTGGGACAGTGGTGGGGACCGTGGGGGAAAGGGGGGAGAGTGGGACCGTGGTGGGAACAGTGGTGGGGACAGTGGGGACAGTGCGACAGTGGTTGGGGCACTGGTGGGGACAGTGGGGACCGTGGTGGGAACAGTGGGGACAGTGGTGGTGAGGACAGTGGTGCTGGGGACAGCAGTCAGTGGGGGATGTGGTGCGGACGGTGGTGGGGACCCGGGTGTCGTTTGCTGGCGGTGAGGGGCGGAGGGGGGGGTTCGAACCGGTAGTGACCCCCCCCCCCGGTTCTCGAGGAGGGGGGGGTTCAAACTGGCAGTGACCCCCCCGTTTTTGGAGGTGGGGGGGAGGGGGGGTTCGAACCGATATTGACACCCCCCCGGTTTTCGAGGAAGGGGGGGGGGTTCGAACCGGTAGTGACCCCCCGCCCGTTTTCTGGAGGGGGGGAGGGGTTCGAACCGGTGGGGCCCCCCCCCGGTTTTCCCGAGCGGAGGGGTTCAGGGGGGGGTAGAGGGGGGGGGGGGGCCCCGGGGCAAAGGGGGGGGGTCCAGCAGGGGGGTGTGATTTTTTTCGGAGGGGGGGGGACCCCGTGTTCCAGCGGAAGAGGGGGGGGAATTTTCTGGAGTAGAGCGGCGGTGGATCACGCTCTCTCTGATAATGCGGATGACGCTGATGATGACTATTGTGATGATGACGATGCTGATGATGGTGGCGAGGCGAGGACGATCACGTTGCCGATGGTGAGGATGATGATGACGCTGATGATGCTAATGATGATGAAGAAGAAGATGCTGATGCTGATGCTGCTGATGATGCTGCTGGTGATGATGCAGATGATGTTGACGATGGGTGGTGGCGGTGATGATGAGCATGGAGATAGTGTTGGTGTTGTTGATGGTGGTGATGGGGCTGATGGTTCAGATGAAGGTGGTAATAGTTGTGATGGCGGCGGTTACCGTGATGGTGATGCTGATCGTGTCGGTGATGATGATGGCGATGCAAATGTTATTCTAAGGTTAGCATGTTTGCGGGTATCGTGATGTTGGTGATGATGATCGCGATGTTGATGATGATGGCGAGGACGACGCTGTGGTGATTACGGTGCTGGAGAGGGTGATGATGGTGGTCGTGCTGACGGAACCGATGAGGATGGTGGTGTTGATGGTGATGACGAGAAGGAGGCGGCTGGTGATGCTAATGTCGATGGTGGTGTCGCTGCCGTCGCTGTTGATGATAGAGGTGATGAGGAGGATGATGATGATGCTGTTGCTGCTGCTGATGATGCTGATGACGATGACGATGATGATGATGATGATGATGATGATGATGATGATGATGATGATGATGATGATGCTGATGATGATGATGATGATGATGATGATGATGATGATGAGGATGAGGGCGACTATGGCCAGGACGAGCGTAAACCCGGCAGGTATCAACGGTGCTACCCTGCACCCTCCCGTCTCAAGCTCCCTTCTCGTCAGTCCCTGCTGGCAGTCTCCTTCACTGCGCGAATCGCCGGCCTTGGGAGAGACGAGCGCCTCACGGGAACGCAGTTCGGGCGGGAGCTCCGTGCTGAAAGGGCCTGTCTTCTATCCGCTGAGCTGCTTCGGCTGCCGCAGTATTCTCGTTTAACCGATCCCAATCTTCATTTGGGGATACACCCCTCGAAACTCCAAGGGAACGACCTACATCCCCATCTAGGGGGGTAAATCGGCCAGTGGGGCCCAGGCCACGCCACGCCGCAGGGGATACGGATCGGTTCAACGATACTCAAGTATGGGGTCTGACAGCAGCACGGCGTCAAACGGACAAGACGGGCGTCGTCGTGATGCGCCCCATAGACATCCTCTTCTTTGGTTTTTCCTCGGCCTCGCAAGGCACGCCCCTTTGTCCTCCAAGGTCGTGGCAATATCCGGCTTTCTACCCGCTGAGATGCCAAGATTGCCGCAGTATGGGGTCGTAACATTTACGGAGGTCTCAAGCGATAGCCCCATTATGAAAAAGGGACTGCTGGAGCTGCTGCTTCTTGTGTGTGTGTGTGGCTGTTAATTGTTATGCGAGTGTGCGCGGCGCCACGGCGAGAGTCACATTTTGAAAACCGTCTGCCTTCCATCCGCCTTTATCCAGAAATATTTGGCGAAGCGCCCGTCCCGCCCTAACAGCGTGCCTGGTGGCGCGACACGGAGGAGTTATCCAGAATGAAAAAAAGGTTTTCAGAGGAGGAGGAGAAGAAGGCGGGGGGAGGGAACGGATGGAAGGATGGTGGATTAGAACGCAGGGAAGAGATGTAAAAAGAGTCTGGGTGAGGAGATGGTGGAGAAAGAGGAGGAAACGGAGGGCGAGAAGGGAACGGAGGGATGAGGGAAGAGCGAGGAGGGAAGAGGGAAGGGGAGGAGGAGGAGGAGGAGGGAGGATACACGAGGAGGAGTGGCAGGAGCAGGAGGAGGAGGAGAAGGAGGAGGAGGAGGAGCAGCAGCAGCAGCAGCAGCAGTAGCTGCGGCAGCAGTTGGACAAGAAGAGGGGCGAGGCGGTGGAGGAGCACCAGCAGGAGGGACTGGACGAGGTAGATAATTAGGGGGAGGGCCACTCCGCCACATAGATTTGTCAGCCCTCCTCGTCGACCGCTTTAAGTTGGAGAAGGAGAAGATCCTCGAGCAGAAGGAGGCGTTCGACTTCCTCGACCAGGATCACCAGGGCAGGATAACCCTTGAGAATCTGCGGACCTTCAACGCCAAGTTCCAGAACGGCTATACGGACGCGCAGCTCCGAGAGGAGTTCAAGGCCCTCCACGCGGACGGGGACGACACGCGCAGCGTGACGTTTCTTGACTTCCTGAGGGTGTACGTCAGGGGCGAGCATGGGCGGGACGTGCACCTGGGCCTGGCGGAGGTGGAGGGCGACGTGAAGGTTGGACGACGATCAATAGACATATATATATGGACACATACATACATACATCCATACATACATGCGCATATACAAACATACATACATACATGCATACACACATACATACATACATACATACATACATACATACATACATACATACATACACACATACACACATACACACATACATACCTACATACATACATACATACATACATACATCCATACATACATACACACATACATACTCACATGCATACATGCACACATACATACATACGTACATACGTACAGACGCACATACGCACATACGTACATACGCACAGACATATATACACGCACATACATACATGCATGCATACAACCATACATATACATACATACTTAACTACATGCATACAACCATACACACATGGTTATGCGTATGTTTATGTGTATGTTTATGTGTATGTATGCATGTATATATATATATATATATATATATATATATGTGTGCATACATGTATGTATGCATGTATGCATGTATGTATGTATGTATGTATGCACGTATGTATGTAGATATGCGGGTGTATGTATGTATGTATGTACGTACGTACGTATGTATGTGTGTATGTATGTATGTATGTATGTATGTATGTATGTATGTATGTATGTATATATGTATGCATGCATGCATGTATGTATGTATGTATGTATGCCTGTATGCATATCCTTCTACATATACATATATAACTATATTCTCCCAGTCGTATAACATTTGTTCGTTTCAATACATTTGTCTACACATATATATAATATAGACATACAACACACACACACATATATATATATATATTATATATATATTAAGAATATATATATTCTCATACGCACCTCTCCGAGGGAGTAGAGCTCAGAGGCGATTTATGCGTCCGTCGTTCGCGATTTTTCTGGCCGTTTCGCTCGGGACATCCTCGAAATTCTGAAAATCGGTGGCACCCCTCACGCAGATCGTGACGTCAGGGTCCAAAAACACATAGGATTTCCAACATTTTATCATACAACCTTCAAAAACACATGGTAATTTCAATGATTTTGACTCCGATTCTCAGAGAATGGCGGTTTCGCCTGAGACATCCTCCCAAAATCGAGCCCCAGACCCCTCCTCGGAGCCTCCTGGGGGCCTCCTGGAACCTCCTGGGGCCTCCTGGGGCTTTCTGGACCTTCTGGTACCCCAGACCCCGCCTCGGAGCCTCCTGGAGTTCTCCTGGGCCTGCTGAGGCCGCCTGGGGCCTCCTGGGGCCTCCTGGGGCTTCAGAACTACATGCACACACAGAGACACAAATCACGCCCAACACATCACACGCTAGACAAACATAACATACACACACACAACACCGACAACACGCAAAAAGCACGCACCACACAAAGCACACATCACACACACACACACACACACACACAACACTCACAATCCTGGGGCCTCCTGGAGCCTCTTCTGGTATCCAAGTCGGGCCTCCTGAGGCTTCCTGGGGGGCCCTGGTACACACATCGCAAGGTGTGGCAACCCCACTTGCGCTCGAGTGCGACTTCGCTGTTGCATGTCACTCCTGCTTCAAACGCCCCTTCAGCTTGTTGTATGAGCCTGGGCACACACGTGCCACTTGTATATACACACACACATTGATTACCGGGGACCCCCCCCCGAAGTCGTACCCCCCGAATCCCGGGCCCCCAGGACCCTCTGGACCCCCTTGATCCGTGGCCTGGGGGACCTCCTGGACGCCCCTGCGGGAGGCCCCCCAGGCGTTTTAGAGCTCCTGGAAGCCCATGCCGGGCCCAGGCAATGGGCCCAAATCTGTCAGGAGGGCGGTCGAGCCGCCGAGCGCCCCAAGAGGCCCCAGCTCCTCCTCTTCCACCTCCTCCTCCTCCTTCTCCTCCTCCTCCTCCTCCTTCCCCTCCCCCTCCTCCTCCTCCTGCTCCTCCTCCTCCTCCTCCTCCTCCTCACCCGACGCCCGAAATCGACCCTAAGAAGACCCCCAAGAGGCTCCCCAGACGCAGACACAAATCTAGATTTTCCAAGGTTTTTGCATGCTTTGGGGAGTGCCCTGTTCTACGGTCTTCGGGGCGTCCGAGACCGCTTGGGAGGCTCGAAAATCGCCCCCAAAACCGTCCGACAGGGCTTCCAGGCAGTCCAAGAGAGCTCCAAGACTGCACAACAGAGTTCCAAGATGGCCTAAGAAAGCCCCATGACGGCCCAAGATGGCCCCAAGACACCCTCCGAAGCATTCCAATTCGTGACCCCGTCGTTCAGGGAGACCGTGGTTGGAGGCAGGGCGGCCCGAGGAAGCCCCCAGAGGTCCCCTGAAGACGTCCAGGAGGCCTCCAGAAGGTTAAAAAGCTCGAACCTCTTTCGTGAGGCCCCCAGAGGCTCTCCAAGGAGGAGCCTCCGCAAAAAGAGCTCAGGAGGGTGAGGAAGAATTCGCAGGGTAGGGCGATAATGAGGAAAACGAAGCATGGAGGAAGAATAACGAATACCATTATCATGACGGCGATGCCGGGAAAGGCCACAAGGAGTTATCGCTAAATTGTTTGTTCGACCTTCCTGCCATTCCGCCTGCATGCCAAACTTCAAGGACACAGGTGCATGGCGCGAAGCGTCAGTATACTGCAATCTTCGATCTGTATGTCCAAATACATGGAATACGTATCTTCTCATGTCTGCATTTGTGTATGTATGTATGCATGTATGCGCGTTTGCATGAATGCACGGGTGCATATATATATATATATATATGTATATATATATGTACACTATATGTACCTATATATATATATATATGTGTATATAATCCACCGCCCCTGGCCAGATCCCCACCCCCTCTGTGGTCGTGGCCCTGTGGGCGTGGCGTGTTGGAGGAGGGTGCCGCGCCCCCGCCCCCCCCCCTGTGGGTGTGGGGTGGTGCTGTGGTGCCGTCGTCGTCGTCGTCGTCGTCGTCGTCGTCGTCGTCGTTTTCGTCGTCGTCGCCTGGCCAGGGGCGGTGGCCTGTTTGGGGCCTCTTTGGGGGCATGCAGGGGGTCTAGGGGGCCTTTTTGTAGGGGAAGGCTCCCAGGTTCCTCCGAGTTCCCCCGTCCTGGGCTTCTCTTGGGCCCCGCTTGGGGCCTTCTTGAAGGTTTTGCTGGTCTTTTTGGGAGCCTCTTAGGGGGGCTATGCGGGGCGTTCCAAACAGGGCATTGCCTTCGAGGAGCGAAGGAGTTGGCATCTCTTCCCCGGCGGAAGGCGGCGGAAGGGCGGTCGGCGGAAGTAAAACGAGGCCGCCCCCGCCGGCTGAAGCTGGCGGAAGCTCGGCGGAAGGCGGCGAAAGTAAAAGATGCGCCCCCAAGAGATGAAACCGTTGTTGGGTTCGGGGCTTTTCCGACATCCGCCGCGTGTGCGTAGATGTCGTCGCCCCTTGAAGGACCTGGACGTGGCCCAGGTCTCGAGGATGAGGTCCGACAGCAGGGTCCACGAGCGCATGCCCTCGCTGAAGGAGTCCCCGCGCGCCGGGGGCGACGCCGAGGCTTAGGGGGCGAGCGGGGACGGCACCTCCCCCCGCGCGGCGACGGAGCCCGCGGCCCCTTCTTTCGAGCAGTGGCGAGGCGTCCTGGCTGGCCTAAAAGCCCACCAAAGAATGGTCTGAGAGCCTTTTGTGTCCTGGCTGAGGCTGCCTTGTTCCCAACCATCCTGTGGTGTTGGGTCCTCATCTTGAAGAGACGGTCACCGCGTTCCTCCTCCTCGCCCTTCCCCTCCTCCTCCTCCTCCTCCTCCTCGTCCTCCTCCTCCTCCTCCTCCTCCTCCTCTTCCTCCTCCTCCTCCTCCCTCCCCCTCCCCCCATCCCTTACCTCTGCCCTCCGCATTTCCACCATTTCGGCACACCCATCACCGAAGGTCCCAATGTGAATTCTACCGAAGGTCCCAGTGGGACCGCCCGCATGCGTCAGCCACCACCCAGTGCAGCGTTTCGTGGCCCCATACGGAGCTCCACCGATGGTCCCAGTGGCACCGCCCGCATGCGTCAGCCACCACCCAGTACAGCGCTTCGTGGCCCCGTAGGGAGCTCCACGCATGCGTCGTCCACCATCATCCAGTACAGCATTTCGCTGCCTCATTGATTGGGAGCTCCACCAAGCCCCAGTGGCACCGCACGCATGCGACCCCCCACCCAGTACAGCGCATCGTGGGCCCATGCGAAGCTCCACCGAAAGCCCCAGTGGCACCGCCCGCATGCGCCCCCCTTCCAGTACAGCGCTTCGTGGCCCCGTAGGGATCCACCGAAGCCCCCACTGACACCGCCCGCATGCGTCGGCCACCACCCAATACAGCGTTTCGTGGCCCCGTAGGGAGCTCCACAGAAAGACCCCAGTGGCACCGCCCGCATGCGTCTCCCCCAACCACTACAGCGTTCCGTGGCCTCATCAGAAACTCCAGCGAGGGGCACCGCCCGCATGCGCCCGCCACACCCATTACAGCGTTTCGTGGTCCATAGGGAGCCCCACCGAAGGCCCCACTGGCACCGCCCGCATGCGTCTCCCCTACCCATTACGGCACGTTCCTCACGTTTTTGTGGCCCCATAGGGAGTTCCACCGACAGCGGCATCCACAACGCGGTACTCACACCTGCATATGACTGGGCCCTTGGTCAGGATAATATTAACACATCGGGCTTTGGTTTTAGAACAATTGTTCCCAATCATCCTGTGGTGTTGGGTCCTCTTTTTGAAAAGACGTTGCCCCGCGTTCCCCTCCTCTACTCCTCCTCCCCTCCTCCTCATACCGTCCGCATGCGTCCCCCCACCCAGCAGTACAGCGTTTCGTGGCCTCATAGGGAGCTCCACCCAAAACCCCAATGGCATAGTCCACATGCGCCCCCCCCCACCCAGTACAGCGCTTCGTGGCCCCATAGTGAGCCCCACCGAAGGTCCCAATGCTACTGTCCGCATGCGCCCCCCCCCCCCACCCAGCACAGCGTTTCGTGGCCCCATAGGGAGCCCCACCAAACGTCCCAGTGCTACCGTCCGCATGCCTCCCCCCACCCAGTACAGCGTCTCGTGGCCCCATAGGGGTCCCCACCGGAGATCCCAGTGCTACCGTCCGCATGCGTCCCCCACCCAGTACAGCTTTTCGTGGCCCCATATGGAGCCCCACCAAACGTCCCAGTGCTACCGTCCGCATGCGCCCCCCCCACACAGTACAGCGTCTCGTGGCCCCATATGGAGCTCCACCGAAGGTCCCAGTGCTACCGTCCGCATGCGCCCTGAAAACCAAATTTGGCATTTTCACATATCCAGTACAGCGTCTCGTGGCCCCATAGGGAGCTCCAGCGAAGCCCCCAGTGGGACCGCCCGCGTGCGTCCCACACGCGCAATGTGGCATTTTCACCCACCCAGTACGGCGTTTCGTGGCCCCATTGGGAGCTCCACCGAAACCCCCAGTGCTACCGCCCGCATGCGCCCCACACACCCAATTTGGCAAATTCACGTACCCAGCACAGCGTCTCGTGGCCCCATAGGGAGCTCCACCGAAGCCCCCAATGCTATCGCCCGCATGCGTCCCACACACACCGAATCTGGCAATTTCACGTACCCAGTACAGCGTCTCGTGGCCCCACAGGGTGCTCCACCGAAGCCCCCAGTGGGACCGCCCGCATGCGTCCCACATGCCCAATTTGGCATTTTCACTAGCCCAGTACAGCGTTTCGTGGCCCCATATGGAGCTTCACCGACGACCCCACTGCTACCGCCCGCATGCGTCGCATTCCCCCCCCCCCCCCATTGCAGCGCTTCGTTGCCCACTGCTACGGCCCGTATGCGTCCCCCGCCGCCCAGTGCAGCGCTTCGTGGCCCCATAGGGAGTTTCACCACAGAAGACATTCACAATTGCGGTACCCACAACTGCATTTGGTTGGGTCCTTCGCCAAGATAATTTTGTTATTCGAACATCTTTGGGTTCTAAGAACATGTCGTGGTAGGCTTATATGAATGCCGGGACGGTCGGTCTATGCTCAATTCTTGGCTGCAGCGCCCTCCAGACCTTCGGCGGTGTGATCTCTTCCGCCCCGGCGTTTTGCCTCGATCTCGGTCCCTGGGGCGCGTGTGCAGTCAGGCCGAGGTATCAGGTCGAGGTCGGTTCGGGGACGGTACCCTGATGTGTTCTTCGTGTCTGTTGGGTGTTCTTGTGCGTCCAGGGGGGGGGGACCTTGGATGTTTTGTGTGTTTTGGCCTGCGGAGGGTCTCATGTTCTCGCAGGGTGTTCTTCTGTCCTTGGTCTGACTTCATCGGCCCTCTGGGACCATCAAACACGGGTCCAGGACGAAGACGTGTCCCCTGATGAAGGGGTCGGGACCTCCTCGTTGGAGAAGGGAGAGGAGACAACCCACCCCCACCAGGGGGGGGTCACCTCCAGCGAGGGCGTCCACGAGGCCTCCCCGACCTGGGGGGCAGGGGATGTCTCTTCCTCCTCCTTCTCCTCCTCCTCCTCTTCCTCCTCCCCCCTCCCTCCCCCTCCTCCTCCTCCTCCCCTCCCCTCCTCCTCCTCATCCTCCTCCTCCTCCTCCTCCTCCTCCTCCTCCTCCTCCTCCTCCTCCCCCTCCAGGAGGGACCTCCCTGGCGCCTCGCGCTGGTGGTGGTGGTGGTGGTGGTGGTGGTGCCGCCCTTTCCCCTGCTGCGCGCTGAAGAGGCCATGCATCGTCGGGTGTGGAGGAGGAGGAGGAGGAGGAGGAGGAGGAGGAGGAGGAGGAGGAGGAGGAGGAGGAGGAAGGAGGAGGAGGGAGGAGGAGGAGAGGAGGAGGAGGAGGAGGAGGAGGAGGAGGAGGTGGGGCCGCGCCCCCGTGATCTCCCCCGCTGCCGAGTCTTGCAGGCCCGCTCCCTCGGAGCGCGGTGCCTTCCCCAGGGGTCCGCCCAACGACCGTCCGCTGGGGGCCGATCGCGACCCCCCACCTCTGCTACTCCGCATCCCTCCCTCCTCCTCCTCCTCCTCCTCCTCCTCCGCCTCCTCCTCCACCTCCTCCTCCTCGCCATCCCATCCTCCTCCTTGCCGTCCCCATCCTCCTCCTTGGCGTCCGCTCCTCCTCATTGCCGTCCCCCCCCCCATCCTCGCGGGGTGGGTGGGTTGTAAGAGGAGGGGCTGCAGAAGGAGGGGGAGGAGGACCCGAGAACGCCGCTGCGAGAAGAAAGGAACTGTCTTGTGTCCTTTCAGCGAGTAATGAGGAACGCGCCAGCGCATTATCATACAATTCAAGGAGGTGTCCAGCGAGATCACGCCTTGAAGCAATGACAGCCCCAGCCTGTGCAACTCCTGCGCATGGCTTCACTTAGGGTCATGGGCGTCGAAGAGGTCTAAATCGAAAACCCCATTGTTCGGCGGCGAGCGAGGAAGGGAACTGAGAAAGGGAAGGCCTTCTCAGAAGGCGGCGGGACTTCTCAGAAGCCCTCGCGCCTTCTGAGAAGTTTTTCCCAACCATCCTGTGGTGTTGGGTCCTCGGTTTGAAGAGGCAGCGCCCCGCGTTCCTTCTCCTCCTCCTCCTCCTCCTCCTGCTTTTCCCTCAGTCCGTCACCCCCCTCACTACGGCACACCCATCTCACCCTTCGTGGCCCCATAGGGAGCTCCACCGAAGGCCCCAGTGGCACCGTCCATATGCGTCCGCCACACCCATGTCGGCACACCCCTCACTCGTGTCGTGGCCTCGTAGGGAGCTCCACCCAAGGCCCCAGTGGCACCGTTCACATCACACCCATTTCGGCACACCCCTCACTCGTTTCGTGGCCCCATAGTGAGCTCCACCCAGGGCCCCAGAGGCACCGTCCTCATGCGTCCGCCACACCCATTTCGGCACACCCCTCACACGTTTCGTGGCCCCATAGGGAGCTCCACCCAAGGCCCCAGTGGGACCGCCCACATGCGTCCGCCACACCCATGTGGGTACACCTCTCACACGTTGCGTGGCCCCATAGGGAGCTCCACCCAAAGCCCCAGTGGCACCGCCCACATGCGTCCGCCACACCCATGTGGGTACACCTCTCACACGTTGCGTGGCCCTATAGGGAGCTCCACCGAAGGCCCAAGAGGCACCGTCCACATGCGTGCGCCACACTCATGTCGGCACACGCCTCGCATGTTTCGTGGCCCCGTAGGGAGCTCCACCCAACGCCCTAGTGGCACCGTCCACATGCGTGCGCCACACTCATGTCGGCACACCCCTCACACGTTTCGTGGCCCTATGAGGAGCTTCACCGAAGACGATACTAACAATGGCGGTGCACACAGCTGCATATGGTTGGGTCTTCCGCGAGGCTAATCTGTCCACCTACGGGAGGACGGGGAGGGGGCAGGGGAGGAGGAGGAGGAGGAGGAGGAGGAGGAGGAGGAGGAGGAGGAGGAGGAGGAGGAGGAGGAGGAGGGGGCAGGTGGCTCTCGAGGGCGGACCCCCACACATGCCACCGATGGCCTCCCCTCGGGGGCCCTGGGGGGCCACCGGCGGCGGCCCCTCTTCGGCGAGCCGGCTGAGCCAGCGGCGTCGGCGCGCCAGGC